CCGAGAGTAGATGGGGAAGGCGGACAAGACGGTGACAGGGGGAGGAGAGGGGAGGTGTGCACGGTCGACAGGTGAACATGGCGTGGGCGGATGCAGAGGGATGAGGGAGGCAGGCTCCATGTGGATGCACAAAGCAGATAGTGTAGAGTTACATCCTGCCATCTGCATTATGCCCATGTAATATTTCCATACAAGAGCTGTTTTGGCCTCCTCCAGGGTATTGTTGTGGATCTACAAGCAGGATGAGACAAAAAGCATAAGCGTGTCTGTGTATAAGTGTTTGTGTGTGTGCATCTGTGAGTGTGTGTGTGTGTGTGGAGGACTCGGTGGTCGGCGGTCACGGCTGCTTGCCCGCTCTGTTGTAGCTGCCTCTGTGCTGCACTGTAGCCTCTCTGTTGGACAGCATGTTCTCTGCCGTATGAGTCCAGAGAAGAGCAGCCGAGCAGAATGACACCAGCCTCAGCAGTCTGCCAAGCACCGCTGTGGATGGCAGGACACACTCTGGCACACAGAGATACAACACACACACACACACACACACACACACACACACACACACACACACACACAGGAGCATGCACACTCATATTCACTCAGATATTCTTATCAAGGAACACACATAGGCAGAGCCTCAAATATACGCACATTTTGTATATCTACACAATAGAAGAACAGAATGCATAGAGGACATAACATTGACTTACATTAACCATAGTAATTCACCATGGTACTTGCCTTACCGTTAACCTAAACATAAACTTAACCTAACATTAAAACACGTCTTTAAATGTCATGATTTACATTATGGAGACTTGCTTTTTGTCCCCATAAGGAAGACAAGTCCCTATAATTTGATTGTGTAAACAGATTTGATGGCCCATACAACATGAGTATTGCCTGAATAAAACGCACACACACACACACACACTCACAGTGGTGGTTGAATATACTGATATTTTCCGCATCAAGCTAAAGCACAGGGACACACATTCAGACATCCATATAGAAGGAAATTGAACTTTGAGTCAATAGGTTGTCCTCATGACCAGTAAGGCACAACATTACATATATTTTTACACACGGGAGCTTTTGGCTGCACAGTCTTTTAAACCCAAGCTTGTTATTATCAATTAAGAAATATCTCTAAGATCAGACACCTGCTCATTTTTTAATGCCTGGAAAACTGCATGTAACTCTCTTTTTATCTGCTTAAATTCCTACTCAGTCACTCAACTGCAACTTATCCAGATCTGTGCAGCCAGATTATTAACTAAATCTAGGAGATATCCATCACCTCGGTTTAGCACCCCATTCAATTAGATTTCATTTTAAAGTTGTATTAGTCACCTTCATGGCCATCCATACCCTGGCCCCAGAATATAATAAAAACTTTTTTAATTCTGTACCAGGTCCCTAAAATTAGCAGATCAAAATTTGTAGCTATCCCATCAACCTAACGGAGGCCCCTCTTCTCTGGAACAGCCTCTGGCTCAGAGTGAGATCTGCAGAGTCCACTGTCTGAGGACTCACATCTACTAGATGACCTACACCTCAGAATGTCTTGTCTCTATTTAAGATTGTTTCTATTCTTATGTGTTTTACTTAGTTTTATTAAGTGTATTTAACTTTTTCTGTCTTTATTAATCACGATGTTACTTGTTATCAAATTATTTCTTTACTTGAATGAGATTTGAATATATTCACTTCATATGAGACTGTCTTTTATAATTACATTGTACCTTAATATGTCCTTTATTAGAAGTTCTTGAAACAGATTGAATTTGTTTATTTATTTACATTTTTTAGCCAAACCTCTCATATTTGATCCTTTTTTTATGTATGACAGTATTGTACATGGTGATTTTGTACAAATGGATATAAAGAGGTTTCATGGGCCGCTCTCCTTTCACTTGGAAAGTACTTTGTCCTTAAATTTGAACAGTGCACTATAGATAAAAGGTTTTACTATCATTGAACATGGTGACTCCCTCCCTGTCAGAGAGATGCATGATGGGCACACAAGGTCAAGCCGTGGCTGGAAATCATGACATCTCCTCTCAGACATTGCGTTTTCTAAATCTGTGAGAAACTTGGTGAAAGAAGCTAATTTTGAATGAGTCTATGGAGAGGCCATAACATCGCTGTGGTTTAGACATGAGTTTTTGAAATAAAAAATAAGTAATATTAATAAAAGATGGCTGGTGAGTGCAGCTGTCTGTAGATGTCTGGCAGCAGAGTCTGATGTCCTTGTGTCTGTGTCAAACTTTATCATTGAATCCAAGCATCTACAAATGCTGTCTGTAAGAAAATGTGCACTGACAAATGAATGCAGAAGCTATACGATGTGTCGGGTTGTGAAATAATATGTACAACTCAGTCCTGCCTATGTGTGAGGTTGCAGGATAAACTGACCAGGAGATTAAGTCCAGTGGGGGCATTGATTGAAGCTGCGATAAAATATGGATGTGATTTTCTTGATAATGACATTGTTGAAGGACTGTGGGTTTACTGACCTTCAGGGCTGTCAGCTCAGAAAATGCCCCGGAGCCTCATCCTTGTTTATTAATTTCAAGATCAATTTTTCATACAAAGGGATGCTGCAGTTTGCCAAGCGTAAGATGACAAAAGAAATTACATGCACTGCAGAACAATAACAAGAAATAATCTCTGATTAGTTATCAACAGTGTCACTGTTTCTATTTCTATTTTGTGACAGCATGAATTAACTTCACAGCATTGTTCGTGCATTATCTTTCCTTGTCTTAAAGCTCAGGGTTTTTTAAGGCAGTTAAAATTGTTCTAATTAGTGTTTAGTCTTCTAAATGTTGTGATATATCTCTATATCTTTTTTTTGCATACCACAGTATCTGCTGCTTATCTGCTGCATTCTTTTATCCCACCGTCTCCGTCTCTCAGACACACACGCACATAGTTTCTTTTTCAGTATCTAGTCCCAGCATCTCTTTCTTCTGCTTTCATCTCCATTTAGCAGCGTGTCAGATGAGATCCCAGCACCTGATTTGAATGTGCTTTGTTAACAGGATTTTTAATGAATAGCGGAGCCTTTATGAATACCTCAGCACTAAATAGAATCGAGGTCAGGGTCCCAGACTCTTGTTTGTGCTAATGGTTAACGGAGAGCCGTACCCTCACAAAGACTCACAGCAGCGGTGCCTTGCAGACCACATGTCAGTTCCCATGCCAACTGGCAGCTCCGCATCACGCGAGGCAGCAGACAGTCCTACAGAAACCTTGCTGGTTTTATTGCAGAATTAACATCGAAGCTAATAGATGTGAGAAAGAGACATTTTCGAACTGGCTGTACTTTGAACTTACTCCTACACGTATTTGTACGGAGGCAGGAACACACACACATGCCTTGTTTCTCCAGCTGCGCCACAAGAGAGCTGTCTCTAAGTGACAACAATTAGCCCGCTCAGTTCAAGCTAATTGAAGTCATTTACATAATACATGCCTGCCATCACAATTCATCTGTGGACAATTCAAGCAGGTCTGTGTCATGCTGTCACAACCTAATGTTACCCCCACACACACACAAACACACACACACGCGCGCCTTGATAAATGATCCTAAAAGCAAGAACCATAATTTTGCACAAAGCTTATCACTCACATGAGGACGTCCTCCGCAGGGTGGTGTTTTTTTTTTCTACTAATGAAAATATGGATTGTGTTTGCCAACGCAGACAGATGTGCACATTGTCAAAACTGTGTTTACCATCCATCCCATTACGCATGCAATTACTCAGAGGTTGAAAACAAGCGGCCTCATTTGTGTGATGCTAAGCTGCAATGGCTGAGGAGATCTAATTCTTTATTAGCCCGTTGTTTAGGAGCGTCCTTTGACAGGATAGTGGGCGATGAATTAAAGAGATGGCTTGATAAAAAGCTTGCTGTGCAGAATTGTTCATGCTGGATTTTTGGGAGAGAAAAAAAAAAATATGCCGCCATCACTCATAATAGGAGATCTGCTCCTTCTGTGATTTATGAAATCAGTTTGTCTTGTTGGCATCAGCCTGAGTTTGAGAGATGAGATCACAGCACATGCATTTTAACTCGGGGGTAAAAGGAGACAAGGGGTGGTGTGTGCGTGTGTGTGTTGTGATGTCATTGCATCAGGCTGTGAATCATGAGATAATGATTCATAGAGTGTTGATTAAATTTGGCAATGGGATGAAAGGATTTTCCAAATGATCGTGTCTGAGAGTCTGTTTTGTTTGGTGTAATGGTGCATTCATGTCGGCTGTCACTGGAGAATCTGCACTGATGCACTCAGCAGCCTAACACCATCTCTCTCTCTCTCTATCTCTCTCTCTCTCTCTCTCTCTCTCTCTCTCTCTCTCTGATTGTGTGTGTCTAAACCCTTTAGTGTAAAGACATCAGACACCACATGTCCCCCAAACCACGCTCCTCCACTTTTAACACAGACATGTTAGTGTGACTTAACTCTGGAATCAGGGATAGCAGCTTGTGTGTGAGCACATGCAAACATGAGATTCCAAACACCCCTCTCTCTCTTTTGTCTCAGTCAAGCAGACATTTCCAAATGTCATTCAAGACTGTTCTCCATGTGCTTGGCAGAAAAGCATAGAGCGCCATTGGCCCAGTCAGCCTAACATGCTTTAGACCTTCTTCTCATGCTTTCCCTGGAGAAGCCAAGGAAAATTCTGTTTTGACATTGCTATACGTCTAGTTTGGGAAAAGAATGATATGAGAAAGAATTAGCACCCCCCCCTTCCATCGCATGTATTCTGGTTCGGGAACAGATAAGTAGTTTGTTTTGCCAAAGACGTCAAAGCAGGGAATCACAGTTGACAGCGGAGCGGATGAGATATTTCAAGATACGTCTTGATGGATGCGGGTTAATCTTAAGCCTGCCAGATGTGTCAAGGATTTGCGAATACCTCATGGAGTAAATCTCACTGTGCTGCTCTCTGATTTTAACCCCCCCCCTGCCCTTTTTCTGTCTGTCTCTGCAGTGAGGTTTGAGGATTGCCAGCGCAGCAGAGATGTGGGCTTTGTCAGCAGCGACCCCAATTTCAGCGTGAGACCTGACGGGGCGGTGTATGCAGAGCAGGAAGTGGCCAACCTGTCAGAGCCCGTCCAGTTCATGGTGACGGCCCGGGGGCTCCATGACCCACACATCTGGGAGACCACCGTTAAGCTGGCCTTGGCTGGACACCCCCATTCTCTACCACTTACAAAGGTAATAAGACTTGACGTAACTTGATTAATACTACATCACAGCGGTAAAGTGACTTTAATTATTTCTCAATAATTTAACTGCCAGCATAATAAGTTATCAGATAATTTCATTTCATTACATAAATGACTCAAATGACCTGGGTGTCTACCACTAGAAACTTCTGGCCGCATGCTCGAGCAGTTTTTACTGTCCACACAGTCAGACCTCATCGTTTCAGCTGCAGTTGTGAGCGTACCCGCAAGTGGCAGCGATGCAGTTCTCTCTCTCACACGAGAACTTGGCTTTCACTCTTTTGTACCTGTCACCCGAAATCTGTGTACGTGCACCCCCCCAAATTCTGGGGGAGATGCTTTGGTAAGGCTATGTAAGGTTTTGCCGATATAATGAAATGTTTTTATACTGCTAGATTGTAGATAGTGTGATTTATTGTTAGATTACCATAGTTAATTTTGGATCTCTGGCAAATCTCACAATTGTTCTTGCTCCTTTTTTGTGAGCAAAGAGGAATGTAGAAGACATAAAAGCAGCAGGCATCTCATTTTTAGTGAGCAGTGATTGCTGGTTAAAATGACAAACACCAGCATAAAAGCCTTCTGTCGGCTTTAGCAAATTAGTATTTACTCCACAATGGCGAAAATAATGTGTTTTACTTTTGTCTGGTCGATTTGCTCTCTGCATGGCCACTTGGCTACAGATCATCTTACTTATTGCATCACGTCCGTTTCCAGAGACTGTTCTGCATATTATATCAATATTTGACTATGATCAACTTAATCATTCTGTATCAGGACGTCAGTATTTGGATCAGTTAGTAGTACGTAGGTAACACCTGTTACTTTAGTGTGTGAGATTTAATCAACATTTCATTAGGGGTCATCTGCTGTATCATCTCATTTTCAGATTATAGTTGCAGGATTAAACATTTTAAAAACTTGGCAGCCAATTTGTTTCTGCTTAATCAGCCAACAAATGATGATCACAGATCCATGCTTTTGTTATTTTGAACTTTTCTTTCTCGTAAATGTTGAAAGTGAAAACTAATTATATTGATAAGAAATTATTCAAAGAGGATTTAGATTTGATGAGAAGAGTTTGAAACTGGATTTGGCTTCAGCACACAGCTATTAAACCCCAATTCAGTTTTTTCTTCTGATTAGACATGCTTCAAGCCTCAATAAACAAATCAAATCTGAAGTGGGTGAAATGTAATGAAGCAAAATGATCTGAATATTAACACTGCATTGTCAGAGTCCTTCCTCTCACATTTACAGTAAGGACACTTTTCACTCTGTCTCCCTGGAAATTCAAAAACTGCCAGAGAGCGAGGGGCTGAGACACGTTATAGATGTTACATGTTATGACATAGAGCCACCCCAAACGGCTGACTCTATTCTATGTAAGCAGGTCTAAGGTCCAAGACGTTTTGAAACACTGGGTTGCGTTATGAAACTAGTATTTCTATAGTTTTTTAATTTTGTTATGCTCAAAAAACACAATTAAGGGTACAGCATAACTGTAAGATGCGGCGTTTCTTTGCATGTTACAAGACAAGAAATATATGACATATATGAGACATGACATTGTTTCTCTACCAAGGCTCTATTAGCTAAGGGACAAACCCATTACCATCTTTCCTACACTACTTGTTGAACACCGCTGGGCTTAATGTTCACTCATATTTATAATCATGACAAAAAAAACAGGACTTGTGTAGCTAACACAATTGCAGTGTAGGGATTACAATTCTGCCCACTCCTTGCAGTGCAATAATGGAGACTGGGAAATAATTGACATTGATTGAGCTAATGTTCCACTCCGACGGAGTCTGCGAGGACCAGGTGATTTAGTTTGGGTGTATAATTATGTTCCCCCACATTGTCGAAAGAGAGATTCAATAATCGAACAAGAAATAAATGTGTTTCCTCTTAACCAGCTTTTACACGTACAGTACAGTATGCAATTTTTTCCAGAACACTGTGTTCCTATGTTCGTTTTTTCTCTCAGAATTTACAGTTCCAGTCTCCTGAGTGGAAAATTGCTGATACTCCCTGAGGAAGACATTAAAATAAATACTTGTTTCATTAAGAGCAGAGTCATCAAGGATGTAATTGTTGGAATTAATTGTACAGATAACTGAACATCTATTTAAAAGACCAAAGATATGAAAACCCACTTTGGTTGTGTGATTGATTAAATTTATACATTGTATATATCTGTTGCTTGTGGCATGTTGTACAGGCCAACATTAAAAGTATTATTACTACATAAAATAAAGGATTTTTCTGTGACAGCCTCCACAGACTGATTAAATCACCAGTTATACTGACATCAACTATGTATGACTTACAGTTTTATTGTAGACTTCTTATTTTGTTGATTTATTTTCTTACATTTTGTACTCTCCAGAACTGAATATTAATACAAATTCAACTTACCCTTCATTTTACATTGAAGGCAGAAAATTACTCTAAACAGAGCTGCAGAAAGAGATGTTCTGATACACTTTTCCCTTCCCAGACACAGATTTGTGGACATTGTGTATTGGCCATTATTGAGTATCCCATACAGTGCATTATAAGGCCTGTTGCCAGCGTTGTAATTGGTAACACTAGTGCCACCCCTCAAAAGTGAAATCTTGCATATGTTACATGTGCAGTTTAAGTTATGGAACTTTCCATTGTGAAACACTGCCACACTGCTGATACTTAATCTAGCTGTAGCCACCAGAAAATAATTTCTTCTTTGCTGATCTATTAACAGTACTCACTATTGGCAGTACAGAGAAACTGTTGATTTGGAGAGGTATTTAGATAAGAAATTTGCAGTTATATCTGGAAACTAATATACTTTAAAGACGTGGTATCAGAACGGTAAAGATTTGCATAATCGTTGATGCCTACACTGGCATTCTCAGCTGCATTGGAGGCATTCTCATTGCTGGTATTAAAACATCTCTTGGAGCAGGGTCTGCTTTGTTGGTTCTTTTCCCTGCAGCCGTCCCTGTTTTCCTCCTTCAGTGTGAAATTTTGTTAATACACAGAGCTCATATTTTAACGCTAAAACATAAAGGTTATATGTATGATTGCCAATACATGTTACACTAGCATCAGCACATCGGACCAAGCCATAATTCTTCGTTGGCCACAATTTAGGCTGCCCTACAGTCTGCAGGTTAGTGCTCTCTCTCCCTCTTTCCTGCTTAATGCTTCTGTCCTATAAATATATCAAAGGCTAAAACAAATGTCTAACAGGGTAAAATGGTAAAAGGATGACTTCATATTTAAAGTCAAAGATAAAGTTTTATTAAATTTCTGCACTACATACAGTACATTTATTTTATGAGCCTGGACGGACTGGTTGGCAGAGGATTACAGATAAAAGGCAGTAGTTCTAGTTGTTTTTTGATTTATAGTTTAACATAATAACCTGGTAATGTGCAGTTCAATACAATGACTGCAGGAATCCTAGGAATTAAAATTAAAACATCAGTGCAGTGTTTTTAAACAGTCTGACCCATTTTACTTACATGTACACAGAGATGGGTCATTGTTATCTGAGCTTATCTCTTTGTTCTGAAAGGCAGATGTTATTTGAGAGAAGAGGTTATCATAATCGCATCACCTAACCGAAACTTATCTCCGCATAATCAGCATGGCAACAGCAGCAGAGAATATAAACAGAACAGGATTTCCCCTTCTTCCCATTGGCGATTAAAAGACAGTCCGCTCAAATACCAACTCATTTTGTTCGGCTCAAATGTGCTCGGATAAACTGGCTGCAACACAGAATATAATGTGGCTTTCTACTCTTTCTACTGCTTTGTTGTATGGCAGCAGTGAGAGTGCATTGATTAGCTTTTAATAACTGGCTTACTTTCTCACAGTTCTGCTTTGGTAGCAGAAATTAGCATACTTGTAATGTGCTCCATGGATGACCGGCTCATTTTACTATTTAATTTTCCAGTGTACAATACCACAGCAATTGAAGTGTTGGCCTGAGAGCCCTCTTCCGCTGTGTTTATGTACTCAGGCTATCGCGTCTCACACAGGTAGGGCCTCTCGTTGAGTGCTCTCCAACTCGTGCTGATTTCATGGTACATCGGTTTGCCTTTTCCACCAGTGTAGGGGCCATCAGTTATGCATCGGTGGATTTGGAGTCGACTCCTTGACAGAGGAGTTTTCAGTGTTTATTTGATTTTTTTAATTTACCTGGTTCTCACCAGATCCCCTCACCTGTTCAAGGTAGATCACAGCAAAGGCCAGTAGCAAGGTGGGAACTGGTACCCATGGGTCTGAAGCAGTGTTGGATGGTTGCGTTCTGTGCTTATCTTTGTGTTCACAGCCATATTATGCTAAAAATCTACAACAGAAAACTGCAGCAACCAGACGTTAAATGTTAGACTTAAATGTTATATTTCTTCACTCTAGTGTTGAGAGAAGATCTCATGGGAGAACATTCTTCTTACTGAAGACAAGACTGGTGTCTTTTTTATTACAGACATCCTGCAGCGCTAAAGACTTACAAAAGTCGAATGTTCTCAGAGCCCTGCTGAACACAGACTGGGCAATGAGCACACGCTCTTATTGTATTGTTCTGCCTGTTTGTCAGACCGATAACCTCCAGATGTCAGCTCCAGGGCTCGCGGCGTCCCAGGTCTGAAGACTGCCCCAGCAATGCGCGGTTTGCCTGGGAGCGGAGCGCTGCCAGCTGGCCCTGGCTGCCTCTGGGTTTCAGGAGCCTCAGGCGCGTCAGGGCCACACTAACCAATTTCCTGTCATGTGCTCATGCACATACACACACACTGGGACTCGCACATGCACACTCAAATACACCAGCACATATGTTCATGCATTATTTTTACACTTTTGCACGCGTGTACACATGCTTGCATCAATGCCAGTATTTCCCATATGTGCACACAAGCGTGCACCTCGCCTCCTGGTTGCCCACAGAAAGCATGTTCCAGTTTCTCCTCCTTTCCTTTGTAATTCTGGTGTTGTCACAATGCCAGCAGCCTGTCATCTGCCTCGCTGTTTGAAAGTGACAGTCCACATTCAGCCGCTATGTCGATATCATCCACATGCAGACTTACAATAAAAGACGTCTCCCTTTCATTGTCTGTCTCCATGTCTCTCTCTGTTTCTCGGCTTGGTTTCTGTTTTGGCAACATTTCCAAAGGCATGTCGGGGCCGGACCCATCAGACGCTTCAACCTTGTTATTGTCAGACCTGATGGACCGCCTTCTTCAGTGGGCTGATTGGCGTATAGAGCCACTATTCGGTCATTGTGTTGTTCTGCCGATAACCAGGAAGGCAGATAAGGACTTTATCATGATAGGAGCACACTGGACTGAGCATAGATGAGGAAGACCGTGCTCATGGAGTCATACATGTTTTCTGTATTTGTAACTGTCAAACAGATAGTCCCGATGATTCATCATCTGCCAGAGAGTGGCGTTTATCTTCTGTTGCATGTTTGTTGGTTTTTACTACTTGTTTGTTTTCCCTTGTTTAAAAAAACATCTGCCGACACACACACACACACTGAAACATAAACAAACACACATACACACACAAATTCGCAGACAGAGACTAATTCCACCTGCTGCCTGTGGAGGAGACTGGCACGCTCCCTGTCTCCCTCGTGCCAGTTGGTACCTGTGAGTGTTTTGGATGAGCAGAGCTGGAACAAACATTATCTTATCTAGGAAACACATCTGGTCCCCTCGTTCCTCTCTCTGTCCTCTGACCATCCACTCCGATCACCCCACTCCCTCTCCGTCGTGCTCCTGCCCAGATAAACCAACAGCCCTGCCTGTCCAGAGACCCTCCCCTGGCTCATGGTCCAATCCTCTGAACTGTGAATGAGCAAAGACTTAGAACAAAAGATGAAAACTATACACTGTGTTTGCTCAGGTGTGGCTTACCGTTTGCCTCTCTCACAGGCAAAGCAGGTGTATGTTGATAGGATGAAGCGCCGGCCTGTGTTTGGCATGGCGACATGTCCTTGGTCGCTCATGTGCACGCCTGTGTGACTTTGCCTGTATGACGTCGTCCAGGTGGGATAAGCAGGAGGATTTCCTTTGAGCTGCAGGTGACAGCAACACACTGCCAGTGAATGTGTTTGTGTGTGTATGCTGGGTGCAGAGACCACAATAGGATTAGGTGGATTACAGCAATAGAACAATCTTACGCAGGAGGACACCATAGAGGATTGGAGCAAAAACACTTGTCTTTTACACAACCTTCTCACCCTAATTTCACCTGTCAACATGAGTAAGAACACAAACTTTTCTTTGCAGCTGCAGCTCATTCCTTCCTTCAGAACAGTTACCCATAATTCAATGGATCCTTATGATGTTCAAAGGTACTTTAGCATCAAAACTAACAAGCTACACACATGCAAACTAATAAGGGACACATTCTGGACTGAAGAATAGTCCAGAAAGACCACACTTCAGTTAATTTAACCAGGGGCTGATTGGAACAAGAATTCAGGCCAGAAATTTTAAATCCAAGCTGTTCACATAAACCACCATAATGCTAATTTTGTAAGCTAACCCTTTTTGTTGATGTAATGGGTTCCAGAGTCATCGTTAATTTGGCCACTATGTTAATGAGGGTGCAAGGTTATTCAGATTTCAGATTTTTTGGGACCCACTAACAATTAGTATTAATACTCAACCTAAAAAAACTAATCACAGTACATATACATTTACAAGCACAGACCATAGACTCCATATAAAGATAGATGACTGCTCTCAAAAAGTGAAGCCAGAGCATCTTGATTGCCCCCTGGTGGCTGACTGCAGTAAAGGTCATAAATCCCACCTCCTCCATGTTAGCTGATGGGACATGGGACACACTAAAAAGTTTAAATACACCTCAAATGGTCTCTGTAATTGATAATTAATTTCTCATCACACTATTGTTTGTCCTAAAAGTTATTTGATGCTATAAAATTAAGTGAAATTTAATGATTGACAGCTGAGACAAATCGTGATTGGTCGAGCTTGTGTATTGGCGTGACCTCACTACTGCAGTTCCATCCCCACCGTGGAGTCTCCAAATGCTCAAGATGGCAGCATTATGGATAGCGAGAGAGAGATGCGTCGTCCATCTTGATATAGAGTCTATGGGATACACACAAAAAAGAGCATGACAGAGTTAGCTCAAATGCTCAAATGTGGTGAGAGTGAGAATCTGGGGGTCCGTCACCTTTATTGTCACTAGTCAAGGTTACGGTTCAACTTTGTCTCCCACTGCTTTCATCAATACCAGGTTTATCTGATGATCTATCAATGTCACCTTCTGTTTTGTTTTCAGTGCGGATAGACAGGACAGAGAATAAGTTGCCTGCCTAAAAAAATCTGTTCAGAGATGCAGACACAACAAAACACCTCCGTGGACAAAACCCAGCCATGTAGCCTAGGGGAAGTCTCGCTTTCTTAGACAGAAGCCAAGGGCAGGCTCACATGTCTTGCCAAGGGCCTCATGAAATGTGATGCAGCAGCTTTCACAAAAATGTTTATCTGCGCTTCCTTGTGTTTGCTTCTCTGTCACTCTCCCAAAATGGGTTTTATTGTCAGCATGACACCCAGTATTATAGTTTCATTTTGAGTGGAGAAAACCCGTCATTTTACAGCACTTTATAGATTCATCTTCCAGCCTGTCATGGCCAAATAGCATTCTTCAAATGATAAGATGTACAAGTAATTCAATGTGAGATGTAGGATGATATGATATATATGTGTATGCCTTTTTCTTTTCAGGTTGGCATCGAAGAAATGTTGTCAAGAATGTGGGAATCCCAACCCAGAGTTATCAAGTTTCCTCGAAGACATCAGAGAGGCTCCTCTGCCAACGGGCTGAGGCGACAGAAGAGAGACTGGGTCATCCCGCCCATCAATGTGCCTGAGAACTCCAGAGGCCCCTTCCCTCACATGCTTGTCAGAGTAAGTGACTGCTTATGTTTTGTCTTTGATGCAAAGCAAAACTTTCACATAACTTGTCTTTGCAGAGAAAATTAGATAGACCACCATTAGGTTCTTTTCGAGTACTAAGTCAGACCAGGTGAGACCGAGGAGGGGGGAATATACTGCAATACTGCTTACTTTGAGGTGCTTACCAGAATATTGAGGCCAAGAGACTCAATATTCTGGTATTTGATATCAAGCACACTCAGCAGATGATAAGCTCTATTGTCTCCAATTTAAGTCATGATGCCCTCCGATTTGTCTGCTGACTTCAGGGAACCGCAGACAGATGTAGAATAGTTCTTACTCGGAAAACACAGAATACACATTTCATGCTTGGTTTCAGAAGAGGGAATACTTTGGAGTTTTCTCTCTCAGTGCTGTTTCTTTACTGGTTTATATACCTGGTGGACTTTGTATGTCTTTGTAGTTTACAGCTCTTTGGCGCTGGTCAATGTTCATGACATCAGTACTGAATCTAAACCAGCTTAAAAGGGATTGAAAGCAGGTCATTTGATTCAGTATTCTGCAACAAAGAAAGAATTAGTTAGTTCTGCCAAGGATTTTATGTTTGCTCTTTGTCTGGCAGGATAATTAAGAGATTTTATTGAAACTTTGTGGAAGGTTGGGACCAAGGAGGAAAGCATTGACTCATTCAGCATATTTATTCAAATTGGCAGATCTTGGATTTTTTTTCAATATCTTCAGCATTATGAGATCTTTGTGAGTCTCAACAGTAATAATGCAAAAATTGTATGAGAAAAATCCAATAGCATGTGTACCGTGCTAATATTTGTGAAATGTATTTCTGATCAGGATAATGATTCAGATTTATCATATCTCAGTGCACGTACTTTATATGCAAAATGGTGATTCAGTGGTCAATCAGTCTTGGTGAAGGTATGCACTCTCCAAGTACCCTTTTAGTTTAATGTGAGTTTTTATTTCAGTAATGATGGATGCTAATTAAATTGGACCACCCATCGGTATCAGCCGATATTCCCTCTAATGAGTTTGATTGCCGATCAGAGAAGCCGATTAGATGAGGCAAAACAAACAGCTGTCACTCATGAAGTCCAACTCTTAACCGAGATGAGAAGGAATTCAGATGGCTCACTCCTCATTTTTTTTCAGTTTGTATTCTAACTTAGATAGTTATTTGATGACTACTTTTTCGTTTTTTTTCCCGGAGCTGATGGTGGAAATAGCTAATGAGTGAGGCATCTTGCTCTCATCTCTGTTGAGAGTTGTGCCTGTGCAGCATCGATTCAACATGATAATGGCTGCATCGCGGTCTTTGCCGGTCTGGCAGTTGTAGTTGTCTGATCACCATTTGCTTCTCTGTGATGCAAATGCTGTGTTTATGCTCCTATAAGTATCAGATGTTTGTGTTCCGCTTTATCACCGGACTCCCTTTAAAATCGTGCACTTTTGAGAGTTGTTGAGTAAAGAGAAATGTTATTAACCTTTAAAACGCTGTCTACGACTAATTCTTAAGTATTTGAGCCTTTTTGTAAATATGTTTGTGTGTGTTTCTCCCAGTGTGTTGGCTCAGAAGTGTCGCGGTCGGTTAAAACAGAGCGCATGTTGCTTTTTTTTGATTTCCTAAACACATTTCATCTTTGCAAACAGGGTGATGTACGTGTTCATTTGAATATAGAGCGAGGGATTCTATCATGAGTGGTCTGTCTGATCAGCTCGTATAACCTGTGTGATTCCCGGGTCACAGCCCGGCAGGACAGACACTGCATACAGGACATACATTTCTCTGGTATTAACGCCTTTCTTCATCACATCTATGTGAAGACATCACATTTCCACAGAGTCAGAGAAAGTTAGTGTGTCTCCTGCTTATATAGTTCAGTTATAAAATCCTGTATAGCATCACTCCTGCAGCTGCTGACAGTGCAAGTGAAACATGTGACACAGGCCGATACAGGACTTTAATGTGGCGCTGAATTGGAAAAAAAAACAACAACTTGACAGTGACAAAATTCTGAGTAGGATTCAGCCCTTTAGTGTTTATTTGCATATAGAGCGGAGAGGAGAAATCCAATCAAAAATGGTCACTTGGATCACCCAAGACGTGTGTTAATCCACCATCCATCATAGAAAAAGGTGTGTACAACTGCTCTGAAGATGGCATTAGGTGCATACATTCTGACCATATGTCTTAATTATTAATAGGATTATTTTTTCTGTGTAAACATGTTTTTTCTGCATGTGTGTTGTTTATACGCGTGGCACTACAATGCTTAATAATTCAGTTTTTCATTGCCTTTCATTTCTACAGTTCTCACAGTCAACATGTATGTAGCCACTTTCTAATTACAACCAGTAACTATCAAAAATACAGACAACCAGAAACAAGTTTGACATGAAGGCATCATGCTCCCAGCTCTGTGCTGCTTCTCTCAACTCCCTCATTCGCTGCCTGTTATCAGTCTCTCAGACAGACGTGCAGCTTTCTGCTGGCATTTCACACACACACACACACACACACACACACACACACACACACACACACATACTCACACAAAGTCCCTTACGCCCATTTGTACAGCAAGGCTTATACTCTCGGATTACGGAAATCGCCTTTTACCAATGTGTTGGCGAGAGGACAGATTTTCCACCAAAGCATGGAAACACTCACCCCCACAAACACACAGCGGGACTGTGGAGTGTCAGGGGAGCCACCAAATTGTGTTACGCTGCCGGAGGAATGGATCCTTTCTGTCCCCTTTTTCACCAGTCAGGTGTTAGATGGTCAGATTCAACCTCAAGGGCCTCCTTTGAGTGTGTGGTCAGGTTTGTGTGTGTGTGTGTGTGGTTGTGGTGGTGGTGGTGGGGACACACACACCCACACACACACACACACACACATCTCCCAGCTTTTATACTGTATACTAAATAGTATTGGAGCACAGTATAGGTGTGTCACAGCCCTCAGCTATATCTGAAAGCAGTGCACCATGGGGGATGTGACTCTGCGAGTTCATCTGTCCCCAGCTCTCTCAGCTACACAACTCTCCATTCTGACAGGCAGCCGTGCAGAGGAGCAGTGGGGATTTCGTGCTTTATCTTTCAGGTCTCAGAAGAGGCCAAGAACAACCTTTAAAGCTGACACACTTGATTTCAGGACACAGCAGCTCTCCCGTGCTGAACTGGAAACTCTTTGAGTCTTTGCTTTTGTTTCTACACTCAAGCCTCCACATGGGCGGGTTCAGCAGGTTTAAAAAGACCAATTAACCCTGAGAGTGTAATTACCACTTTGAAACCATGAAATGATGCAAATGGCTTGCCCATGAGGTGTGTGATGGACCACTGCTTGTTCTCTGCTGGACTCATTCAGAGGCTAATGCACAGTGAGCCTGCTGCTGTGGGACGTGTGATTAATCCCAGTTATATTGACAGAGCCTGTCACACATACAGGATAAAAGCTGCTGATTTATCTGTATGTAATAACCGTAGACTGTATATAAAGATGGACGACATGACTGCTCCCCAAAAGTGAAGCCAAAACCTTGTTCACCCTGGTGGTTCAATGCAGTGTAAGTCATAAACCCCACCTCCACTATGTTAGTGGATGGGACAGGGGTCAAACAAAAAAGTCAAGTTAAATGTCAAATACATACATTTTCCATATTAGGTAGTTCTTATCGTACTGATCTGTGATTAAGTGTCAGTCTTTCTAGTGAGGTTCGTTTTTATGAGTTATTTAACGCTATACACACTGGGTTAAACATCGGGATTGACAACTGAGACTGACTTATGATTGGTCGTGCATGTGTATCAGGGAGACCTCAATACCGTGGCTCCATCCCCTGATCGCTACTGCACAGTCTGACTACAAATATGCAAAATGGCGGCATTCATATCCAGGATATTTTGGCTTCATTTATGGAAAGTGGGAAGAAGTGGAGACACATAGTCCATCTTTAGAAATATGGAAAACATTTTTTAAAATGTATATGGTATTTGGAATAATTAATGAATGTATTAATCAATTTGGCCATTTATTGTGACTATATTGTATTCATGACGCTATTTGACATTCACACCACCACCGTCATCACAGACCTGTGGCTCAGATAGTAATATTCTTATACACCTCTGAAAGCAACTTTCACTTTGAGACAGACAGAAAAGCTCACACACGCACACACACAGGAACCCATAGCGTGCAAGAGCTCCGTTCCTCTGCTGGCCATTTTTACCTTGACATGTGCAATTCACTCTTGGAGAACCAAAAGTAATGCAGCATGATGGCATTGATTTACCATTATGCTCAAATGGAATATTATTTTGATATGATTTGACATGACAGATGTAAGTGCAGTGGAAATGGAGAGTTTAAAAAAAGTATGGACGCTGGACAATGGACACTGAGGTAGATGGCAAGAGTGGCCTTTTGAGAAACTGAAAAGCAGGGAGGGTGGGAGATGGAAAAGGGAGAGACGGGGACAGACTGAAATTGGAAAAAAACGAAAAGAAAAAAAAAATACAGTCTTTTGAGAGCGCTGTAAATCTACAGGGTGAGGGAGGCCAACATTAGTTTCAGGCCATTTGTGGCACTCTCATCTCAACCGTCTCCTGCAGCACCTACACTCAGACCAATGAGGCAAAACTGATGGAAAGCAGTCCGAATATGGGAGAGAAAAGGTTCTCCTTTCATTTAACCAGGCCTCAAAACACTGGCTCCCTCTTTGACCCACAGTTAGGACAAGGAATGGAACAATACGAGCTGGACATAACTGAGTGCATTGCACATGGTTATTTTAATATGCAGCCGAGGGACAGACTAAAGAAACATATCTGCGTTAACTTTCCTCTTGGCGTGACTCTATGCCCTTTCCACGGAGCGAAATGAAATGGTAATGATATCTGTATCTGTAATGATGGTTTTATCACACATTCACATTCTTGAAGAAAAATGAAGGGCTCAAGGTGAGTAGGTGATCTGGCTTATTAGAGTGCAT